TTAAAATTATGTTTAGAAATGTGTTGCTCTCCGTTAAACAGAAATAGGGGGAAAAATAAACAGGGGGGCTAATAATTCAGGGGGGCTAAAAATTCTGACTTCAACTGTTTACTGATTGGCTGATAGCCGTGCGATATTCTGCAAATAATAGCACTGGTACAGCCTCTTCACCCCTCACCTTTGTGTATTACTCCGCCTATACAGCGACAAGCAGAGCACACTCTACAGTTTGACAAATGTTCCAACTGTTGGACAACATAATGTACCTTTGTGGCTTTTTTAGTCAAGAATGTAGTTGTTTAGATTGAAACTATGCAGTTTATTTATAATAATAATAATACCTATTTTAAAATATTTATAATTTCGGAGTATCTTTATATTTATATATTTCAGTGCATCTGCCGCCATCAGCCTGTCTGGAGGACCAAAAAAAGTGACGGTTGTCGTTCTACCACAAGATGGGGACAAACGTAAATTGATGGCATTTCACGCCATTCAGCCTTATAATCTTAAAATGTGAGCAAAAATTACATCGGCCTGGTTTTATTGGCATCTTTTGTAATTTATTGCCTAGATTGGTTATGTAATATACTGTATCTTAAAAATTGCAGTACATTTTCTATTATATATTGTTTAAAACTACTAAAAATGTTAATGAAAGTTATCTTGTTAAACTGCTGAGTAAAATGTTCAATATCAAAAGTTGTCAGAGCAGATTTCAAGATCCCATAAATTTGAAAACACAATTATATATATATATATATATATATATATATATATATATATATATATATATATATATACATATATATATACAGATCACAGTTTACTGACTGTAGTTTTATAACATAATGGCATTTTTATTGATGTGATTTATCAAAGTACTGTATGCAATAATAAATTACAATTCAAGAGTTCACACTTAGATATTGTTTGACAACTGTTAGCAGGTTTGGCATGCTATCCCGGGAGAGAACCCTGAGCTCGGAGATAGTTGAGCCCAGGGCTCCTGCCAGGTCTATAGAGCATGTGTGGGGAGTACGAGATCAGGTGGTTCTCGAGAGCTCCCCGGTGGTAAAGGAGGAAAGGAGGAGAAGGGGTGGATGGGGGTTTCTTTGGAAAACGAAGATAGGGGAGTAGTTCTAGCTAGCCTACTTATAGTGAGTTTGGAATAATCTGATTGGCTAACTAATGAATGTAAATTGGTGGCCAGCTGCAGTCAATCATATCATGTTCTCCTCTCGAAATTAGTTTGTAAAACTTCAAAAAAAGTGACATTTTTTTTTGTTTTTAATTTGGCTTTTGTTTCATCCGCATCGACTTGAAGCCATTTTTCTCCGAAATCTGAACTTAAAATACACATTTCTTGGTGATGCAAATGCATTTCCATTTATCCTGTACAAATATTTTTTTTTTATCCAATAAAATGTTTTAAAGAGTGAAAAGTCCCTCATTTCCACCTGCAATTGACAAGCACAAAATTATGTTTGATTTCACATCATAATTAATTCCTCCTCTTTCTTACCTAAGAACCTTTAAAAGACAATCTACAGATACTACCCAGATGAGAGTAAACAGATAAGAACTTGAAAAGTAACTTATGGTCAACAGACTATCTAAAGGGGGACCATCAAAATAAACCAAAGTATCATATTTAATGTGCAGCAATAATCACTGAACAAAGGAAAAAATAATGTCAGACAAAACCCTCAGATCAGCTTTTAACTGGCAAGTCGGTAATCTCCTATAATGAAGGCATTAAACAAATTACACATAAAGCGACTTTAATATGAATAGATTTCTTAAGAAGAGAGCACAGGGTTTAAATAAGGACACCAGTTCCAGCTTACTTTAGCCAAATGAGATAAAAATGAAAAAGGATGTAAATGGTCATGTAGAACAAAAGCATGAAAGCTCCAGTCAGCTTCTGAAACTCTTTGAGACTGAAGCTAAGTATGTCAAAAGTCTTACTGAGGAAATCAAATGCCTTCCAAATGAGATTATATCAGTTGTGGCAGAAATTTCTAAAGCAGCTCCAGACGCCTGGCTGACGATGTTAGAAGTTCTCCAATGAAATAATGTGTTTAGTAATGTCAAAGCAAAAGCAACCCTGTTAATCCTTATAAAACCAGTCTGAACTTTGACCTTTTAGTATTAGTCCAATCAAAGCATTCAGGAAAGCAGAATAAGACAGTTCTCGAGCAAAGAAAAGTTAAAGAAAAGTTGCCATATGTATTGGCCACTTAAAATTATAATACTGACATGCATTTTTTTCTTCAAATTTGTGACAGCAAATTCTGTAAGCAATTATTTGGAATTACTATTTCTTCTATAAGTAAGAATGTTTGGCCATTAAGAAAATTAACATGTACAAAAGTTTATCATGCAACTTTTTTATTTGAATAGCAAACTAAACCAAAACCTTTCTTTCTATTGCTCTGGAAAACAACCCTGGCAATTTAAATATGCATTGTCAAGTATTTTCATATTGATGTATTCAGTATTCAGTGTCATGGCAAATTAGGATATCATTCACAAACCCTTATCCCCTGAGCTAATTCGAGCTAGACCTTTAGTGTTAACACTGAATGCATTTGACAGCGCATGTTTGGACTGCTACTTAAAGTAGTATTTGAGAAGATCACAAAATTAAATGCAACCATTTGACAGCGGTGAATGGAACACAAGGGCTAAAGTGGGACTTGCATTCCACGGCATTAGAAGAGCACTCTGTGAACTTGAGGACTTGAAGACCCCCAAGGAGAAAGAGCCCTCCAACAGAATTTAAACGTAGTCTCAAATGCAGCTCTCTTTGAGTAGGGTGAACTCAGGTAAATTTTCTTCCACATTTTGAGTCATACTAGTTAGCACCGTAAAGGTGGCCCAGTTAACCACGTTTCACTTGGGAAATGTGTCTAATTTTACAATATACTGCTTGATTGTTATCAGTTTATTAGGTTTGCAATTTTTAATACATGCATTGGTACTTATCTTCAATGACAGCATACATACCATAACATACATAACACCAGTAAAAACAGATGAAGTTATTTACAAAAATGTATACATTACATGAAATGACAATTTTCAGTTAATAAATATAAAATAAAATCTGAAATCATTCATTTTATTTTTGGCTTAGTCCCTTTATTCCTCATTTAACTGCCAAGTTATCCAGCATATTTTTTTACACAGCGAATGCCCTTCCAGCTGCAACCTATCACTGGGAAACATCCGTACACACTCATTTACACATAAACACTACCGACAATTTAGCTTACCCAATTCACCTACAGTGCATATCTTTGAACTTGTGGGTGGAAACCGAAGCATCTGGAGCTCAAAGCTAAGGCTCAAACCAGCGACCTTCTTGCTGTGAGGCAATCGTGCTATACCCACTGCACCACCGTGATGCATAAAATCTGAATACATTTTAATATAATTCAGCCAACAATCAAAGTTTGCTTTCAGTTTACCCACCCTTAAGCCATCCGACGTATAGGCAAGGCAAGTTTATTTATATAGCACATTTCATACACAGTGGCAATTCAAAGTGCTTTACATAAACAAGAATAAAAGAAACAAGTAAAATAAAAATAAAAACAAATAATAAAATTGAGTAAAAAAAAAACATAAAAACAAGTAAAATGTAATATAAAAGAATGAAGAAGAAGAGAAAAACATTTTAGTGCAATCTGTTGGACGTAGCACAGTGCTCATTCAGTAAAGGCACAGCTAAACAGATGTGTTTTCAGTCTTGATTTAAATGTGCCTAATGTTGGAGCACATCTGATCTTTTCTGGAAGCTGATTCCAGCGGCGAGGGGCATAGTGGCTGAAAGCTGATTTACCCTGCTTTGACTGAACTCTTGGAACTTCTAGTTTATATGATCCTAATGATCTGAGTGATCTGTTGGGTTTGTATTCAGTGAGCATATCTGTAATGTATTTAGGTCCTAGGCTATTTAGTGATTTATAGACCAGTAATAATACTTTAAAATCTATTCTGAATGTAACTGGGAGCCAGTGTAGAGACCTGATGACAGGTGTGATGTGCTCTGATTTTCTGGTTCTGGTCAGAATCCTGGCTGCAGCGTTCTGGATGAGCTGCAACTGTCTGACTGTCTTTTTAGGAAGACCAGTGAGGAGACCATTACAGTAATCCACCCTGCTGCTGATAAAAGCATGAACAAGTTTCTCTAAGTCTTCACTGGAAACAAAGCATCTGGTTCTTGCTATGTTTTTGAGATGATAGTATGCTGATAGTTTGCTCATATAGGAGTCATTTGTTCTGCAGCAGAACATTAAGGAAGATTTTTAGCAAAACCATGCTCCTTTATGATTCATAAAAGTGTGAGTGAATAGCTACTGGCACTTTAAAAGTAAAACCACAGTGAAATAAACATCAGATCAAAATCAATACCCATGGCTTCTGATGATAAATTGTGGCTTATAAAGCAAAAAAATTGAAATGTGCAAGAAACTGGACAATATTTACAACATATCATCTTCAATAAAGCCAAGGCAAATGGATCCAAGGGTCCATAATATTTATTGTAGCGTACAAAAAAAGTACAGCAGGTACTATTTTGGTCCTAATGAAAATTACTAATAAAAAAGTAATAAAATAAAATAAAAATAAAACAAAACACATGGTTTATTGTTAGACCATACAACCACAAATTCACCCTGGTTTATCAATCTAACAATCGATCTACCAACAGTATCTATAGATCTATATTTACTTTAATTCTGCCCTATTATAAAGCGTATGCCCTTTTTAAATTTTATTGTAACTGAATGAGAAAACACGACCAAACGTAATCGTTTGCATAAAAAGTATAAGAAGAAACGGCATTTCTGAACTATTTCTTTAAACCCCGACCTTTTAACCTTAGCCTGCAAACGATATCTTTGAGGTTGATGATGTGCGCTCGTGCGCGAATTGCCCTCAATGAGTTTGACGTGCTGTAGTCACACCTGAGGAAGCGCGCGTGCCGTGATATCGTCTCTTGATGTCTCGGAATGTGTCTAACCGCGACCAGAGAGGCAGGCTGTGGAAAACTGAGGGGGAGGGAGAGGGATCCAAAGTAACAGCGTGAAATTGCATAAAACATGCCATTGGGCGCCCAGCGCACTTCCACATTGATCACTCTCCGCTCGGAGTGGATGTTCACAGCCGCTTGTGAAGAAGGAAACGGCTCACGGTGCTTTCCATGGACCAGTACCGAAGTGACTTCTTAAAATGTTGGATGTATACATGGGTTTTATTTTAGTTTAAGGAAGGACAGAGTTTTCTAGAAACCTGCTGCTGAAAGCTGAAAAAGGGGAACTTTCAAGAGACTCTGCTCAGACTTCAGAGATTGTTTTTTTTTTTTTTTCTAAAATGCACTTATTTGGATTTTCTGTCTTCTGTCTCGCATTGTTTTATGCAAACCTTGCTTTCGAGTCAAGTCACGACTACTATGAATACGATCAAGATCAAGCAGATGCCATGGTAAGCACCAGCAAGCTCATTTTTAAGTTATTTTACTCACTATATTGGTATAATTCGAGTCATAATATATTGACTATGATTGACCCCCCTCGGAATGAAGAAAACTAATTACACAGCTATTCTTCTGTTTATTATCAAACGTATTAGTGCTGCCTTGATTATTGAAATATAACATCAACAGTCAACATCACCGGCACTGGTAATTAGACTGTTGTAGTTATTATTATATTCTGCAGAAACACATGAATGGAACTTGTATAGTTCATTGTGTAATCTGTTAAGCAAGGGCAGAATTTTCAACCATTTAGGGTATGATGTTACATTCAAACCACCATGGTGGTTACCTTTGACCTTACCTATTATTATATAATGGTTACCATTTTATGTCTTTGTGGTTTTGTTTTGATTTATTACAGTATAAATTCAACATCGTTGTTAATAGCACCAAATAGGTCTGGCAAATTTATTATTTGCATATTTTTAACCAGTTAAAATTTTTCAGGGGTTATAAAGTTTAACATTTTGATGTACAAAATATTTTTTTTCTCTTAATCATTTACGCTGTAATAGTTTAAAAAGGAAATAATTTGAGCACAATTATATCATCATAAAAAGTGAAAGCAGGTGTCATTGCTTCAGATGTAAGAAGTGCTTTCTCTCTTTTTGTATGAGCAAGAAAGAACAGAAAGTAAATGTTAAAAATACACAATTATCAATATATTTCCAATTGGTGGAATTATGTCTCCACAGTGACTTGTCTTAACCAAAATCAGGTATCTTTTTGCTGCTTTTGGCTCATATACTCACCCATATTATGCTTTAAATGACAGCAATTAAGCAAGATTACTTTGACAAAACATTGTGTCTTTTTATCCACAGCAGCAGTAGACACTTTGGAATTTTACTACGTTCAGTGTATAAATGATACCATATGCTACACGTAACAATGTGGACGTCTTGACAAAATCTTGAAAAGCTTCCCATTGGTAATGTGCATGGACATGGGCCGTACACTAATCACGACTGCCTAAAATTAGACTTTCTTTGTTTTCACTTCACTTTCCCTTAAACTCCTTTGGGTCACTGTGAAATTCAATGGTTATTAAGATTCATTTAGCTGGAATTCACAAAGAGGAGGGAAAGTTAATTGTGAGTGCGACAGCAACAACATAAAAAAGCTGTTGAATTTCTAATCGCTTGTTTTCAGGCCACTTGGGGCATATTTGTCTTGAGCTTATGCCATGGAATTGAATAATTGTTCTAGAATTGCACATGTAGCTGAATGTTATATGAATGCATAGAGAAGGTGACTCAATAATTCATTGGGCGTCAGTCAGCGTTCGCCTAATATTCTGATCTTATTTCTCTCCCTTGGACTTTTCCATCATGGCCATCTGTCATCTGTTTGGCAAAGTTGTCTTGAAATGCATGAGTTATTGTGATTGCAATTATAAATTACAAGGGTTGTACACGTAGAGAGAGTAATTGTCTACTAAGACTATCTTTCTAAAGTGGTCACCTGGGAAATGTGGGTGCTTGGAAAGTATATGAGGTGCTGGGACCCTCTGATTTGTAGTCTTAAACTCAGCTGCAGTATTGACCTCATTCATTGGAACTGACGTATGGCTTTGTCATATGGCTCAACAGAAACTCCATCATTTTTAACTGGGATGTTGACTGCTTTTGGGAATGCATATGTTAATGTTAATAGCTGCTATGTTGCAAGTCTCTTGAGACCCCCTGGTTTAAGTAAGCATTATATTTCAGCCTGCATGGCTGTCTTATGTCTAGTGATAAATATCTACTGTATGAATAAGCCACCCATTATAAACCACCTCCAGCTAGAACAAAACCACTTTCCCCCTCCTCCAAACAACACTGGCTGATTTCTGCTTTTTGGCGATAACTAAGGGATTCCCCAGGGAAGTCTTTTCTAGAGTCAGTGTGTGGTCATGTGTACTTCCCAGGTAGGGAAGTTAGTACAGGTGGAACAGATTACCCACATCTGTCTCTCTTATCTTCTCCACTCTAATAGCCAATCCACCTGCCAGATCCGCTCATCTTTTAACTTCAGATTGAGCACGGCTACCTTTCACCACTTTCACAACTTTAGAGGAGCTTTCACCTGGGGGAAGGGAAAGTGATGACATAAGCAAGAAGACTTCAGGTCCTTTAAGAGGTCAACAGTTCAAGCTATCTTTGAACTATAGGTAACTGCTGCAAATTGGGTTTTTCAATAGATTTTATTTCTCAAAACATTGTACAGTGCTGTACATTTTTAAAGAACTGCCATGTTTAAAAGTGTTCAAAGTGTACAATGTGTTTTTGAAAGGATTATTCCGTTGATGGCTCATTTAATGGATAGTTTCTGTTTAGATGTGACTCAAGTGGCAAGGGTTTAGGAAAAATAGATTGATTATATTGATGTTATTATTCAGGTTTGATTTTGTTGATTCAGATATTGATAGTTACTTTTCAATATTAGTTAGACTTTAAATCAACATAGGCTCATTGTAAACACAGTATGTGCTTATTCTACAATTTTGTAAAATGTAAAACATGTTAATAGAGGTGTGTTTCATTACTTGTTTAAGATGACAAATCCACTAGAGGGCATTGTCTACATTTTAACGAATATAAAATACATTATGTTTGCAAAAATCACACTACATCCTTTTTAAAATCATTGAGTTGCTGTTATTTTTACACTGCATGACTATTTGGGTAAGCATTGAGTTGCTGCTGTGTTCACTTTGCATGTTGGATCAGTGACATAAGGACAAACTGCAAGACTTTACTAGAAACAATCGCTGTCGACTCAGATCATAGAAATGATAAGGAAAAAAAACTATCACAGGCGAGACTAGAAATGGTACTCTGCAATAAGTATTTATAATAATTTGCCACTTGTGCATTGATTTTTAGCGAAAGGGCAAAAAGAAAACAGTTTTTGTTGTAGGAAAATATGCAGATGATGCAGGGAACAAAGATTATGTCTTCTGTATCGCAAACCTAAGAACTAAAGTTTAGCTAAGTTTCGGTTAAGACCAAGACCTAGATTAACTGAAGTTTTAGCTTAATTATACTTTGCTTTTATATGTCGCTTTTAAAATATGCTACTAAACAACCTGGCCATAAGGTTGTCCAAATGGAGATAAAATTGTAAGGCAAACATACGGCATATGATTATAAACCATAGACCCTTTTAAATTGTTTGGGGGTATTTATTTGGGGTTTTGCAAAGAACTACATCAAAATATTCACTTTCTTCTTGAAAATATGTCCCTGTAAATAAACATCTGTGAAAAGAAACAAAAAAGGTTGGCTTCATATTACCCAGTAGTGTTGATTTTATCTAGAAACTACAGCACATTTTTTGTGTGGTTTACAAAGAGTTTTTTAATTTCTAAGTACAAAAAATGTTTCTTGATAATCTGACAAGTGAACTTGCACATTTTAATGTTGCTAACATGTCTAATTGATTTGACAGATTTCTTATTAATTCCTTTGTAACTGAATCATTGAAAGTATTGAAATCGTTCCATCTGATATTTTATTGATATATTAGTGAACACTTTAATTACAGGATCAAACAACATCAGTTCGATTTTGGCAGGGGTGTCCATTAGATGTTGTGTGTCATGGTGATTTTTAAACAATAGGTGTTGGAGAACAATCAATCAAAGTTTTATCATATATAGCGTGTCAGTGTGGATGGCAGTCAGTGCTTGATATGAGAAAATTAACAATGTTCCATGACATCCATAAGGTCCACCAGTTGGTGATATTGGGGTTGTCAGGTGGAATTATGAAAATAAGGGTTTGTGAACCAAATGCAACAACACTTACTCTCATGGACAGATAGACTAGCACAGAGATGCTTTTGATTAAAAATTTCTGTCAGTTATTTCTGTAATCTGTGGTGAATTTGTAATAATCTTATCATTTATGTCTTCTGCTTTGTCTATAAACTGGTTGTGGATCTCAGTCCCCTTTAACAGAGGAATTCAGCTCTGACTGTGGCCCAGCAGTGTGCCTGAAACAGCTGGGGGACTTTCAGTGGTCTTTTACAGTTTTTTTCCAGATCCAAGACCCCTTTTGCAAATTGTCCCTGCAAGAAGATACACTAAAGTGTGTTAGAGTAGAAAATTCCAAATCACAAAAATGAGTAGACTTATTTTAACTGCCTTCTTCTAGGAACTTTCTTATCACTCACATTATAGTGTGTGGCCACTCTGGGAGTGTAAACTGCTCAAGTATGGAGACCAGACCCTTGGTAATAGACTGTTAAGTAGTATTTCTCATTTTTTGTCTTATGTATCCCCAGAGTCCCATCTTTAAGCTTTACATACACTTTTATTGACAGTAAATCAGAAATGTATTTCTTTTTAGTCATTATACAAGGTATAATGTAACATTATCATTAATATTGTAAAACTCCCCACCAGTGATTTATTTTAAGCCATAAAAGGAGGGGAACAGTAGAGTGTGGATTTGAAAACCCTAACCAACTAGCTTGTCTTCTTTTAATGAAAATTTCAGGGTGCATTAATGAAGAAACTTTTCAAAATTGTAGATTTTCTTATTGTTTATAAAATACATTAAGATTGGACATTTGACAAAACTGAAGTAATTAGCACTCTCTAAAATACCACAGAAGCAAGAAATTTCACCCTCCAGTGGATATGAAATCATTTGTACAAACATAATGAGAAGTCAAGACTTGCAGTGTGGCAAAGACTTAGAGATTAACAAAGATTTAGAAAGTTACAAAGGAAATTGAAATCTTTCTAAGCCCCTAGAATCACTGCTCTGAAGGATAAAATGGGTTTTGTGTACTGACCCGTTAATAAAGTCAGCGTGAAAGAGAAATGAAAAGGTAGTGCACATGTAGGCCATGATGATCCTATTAAAAAAAATGTACAGTGGTGTAGAACATCGACTGCCCTTTTTAATAGTTTATAAAACCATCCATAAATGCATGTTGTCTTGGAGACCTA